ACAATTTAAATATGTTTTGTTAACAAACGAAAGCCAGTACAACTTAATATAACATAGACGAGCAAACAAAAAAAAAATAGGTATATGAAATTCATGCATTGTATTCCGCCTTAGTGTTAAATCGAGGTAGTATGGTTCTAGAATGAATCCTTGCACCAATAAATTGTACCAACAGAATTGGAAGCTTCTGTTACAACCTGCACGCACCTCTCTACTGTCTGTGTATGGCAGGGAAAGGACAAAAAATCCACAGGACAAGTTCCTGTATCGTTTATAAATTCTCTGATATCTTCATTCCCTCACGTCTGTAGATATTTTTGTGCGCGCCTTCAATATTCTTCATAAGCCAAGTTGTATAGCATGACGATCATCAGAAAGCATTGCTAGAAGAAGGTTCTCCGGATGACAAAAATATGCATTTCGTTTGATAATAGGATCGATGACTGCCTTCAATTCGTTATTCAAGTAGTGACAATTGTATCATCCTGAAGACGTGTCTTCCTCCATCACAACACGATGGTTTTCTTTTAATGTCAAACCAAACTGGCGCATTAACTTTTACCACAAATTGAGGGATTGTTCTTAAATTTGTAGACGGACATTTACTTTCGATGTAAAGACGCAACATACGGTTTGCCTTTGTAAGCCATCGTGCGTGTGATAATTTACCTGGATTAAGAGCTACTAGATCTAATGAACAGTTTCCTCTAGAAATTAAGTGAAACATTTTATATAATCTGGTAAAGGGCTAACAATAGGAACAAAATTTAAAACAGCCAATTTTTCGCAAGACTCCAACTTTTTCCTATAGCTCCAGAGTGTACACCAGGTCTTGAAGTTTCTCCATCAAGATATTGAAAAATATGACGAAGAGGCAGTTCATTCATATGTAGCTGACATATCATCATCCACTGCAGAGGACGTTTCAGTTTTGTTTTTAAATGCCGCAAAACTCCATTCTTCCTTCCTATATTAACCGCAGTACCATCGCAGCCTACTACTAAAAGCTTATTTGTACTGATGTCAAATTCTTGTAGAAAATTAACTATAGATATGGAAATATGTTTCCCCGTACCTGTTGTTGGTGTAATGTCACCCATATATTTTGAACCTGATTCTTTGAGCAATGATATATGTTCTCGATTTTAATTTTGAGATGAAATTTGTTTCTAATTTCTTCCTGGCACATCGTTTTATCATTTCTTCTATCGAAGTATAATGCTCTAATCTCCGGATTGGATGTTTGTAATTCGCTTTTTAAATCAAAACGGTGTTTTTGACGAGCTCTTCGGACCTTACTTCGATAAATAACTGAAGACGATGTTTCTTTCGAAATAAGTCTCAAATCCTGTACTACACCAGATATAAGCGCTGCTGAAGAACGGTCCGAAATGCCAAATTGGTCAGAAATAAGAGCTAGGTTGGGAATAGGCAATCTCATTTGCTGGCTTGTACTGCAACCTGATGTTAATGGAAGCTCCGACTTAGCTTCTTGTTTTTCTGTCAAATTCTCAAGCTCTACTGACATCTCAGACTCAAATGAATAAGAAATACTGTCTCGCTCAAAGTTTGCAATGTTGTCACTGTCTACTTCAAACTTAAAAAGAAACTGATTTGCATACATATTGATCTTAATTTTTCTTTCTTCTTTGGGTTTTAATTTATTTGTTTCAGTAAAGCCTATTTTTCCAATAAAATTTTTTCTCACAGTTCGTTGATCGTGAATAAATTCTTGCTCTATATTTGGTATTTTGCGTTTTTTAACACATCCACATGTATCAAACGAAGCACATTTATTTATACATGCAGCAATATCGAATAATTTCTATGATTCGTCTTTATATTTCTCAACTTTTAACTTATAATTGTCATTTCGTTTTAATAAGGGTTTGGTACTTATAGTGGGAATTGAAGATTTTACCAGCTTGAGAAATTTCTAAAATACTAGGGTCTTTACCGGAGCTTAAAACCTTAAGTTCATTTCGAATAAGCAAATATCGCTTCATGATATTTTCCACAATTGGCAAAACATTAGAGGGTATATTCGCTGGTGCTAGAAATATAGGACAATTAGTAGCTCCCCTACTGCTCCAAGTGTCCTTCACTGACAAACTCATTACAACTTAAAACAAAGATCTTACTTCTGCGACTATCAAAAGAAGACCGAGTTCAGTTTAGAGCATAAACGGTTATAAACTGGTCTTAACTGGATTGATCAAGTTTGAAGAGTTTCGTGACGGGATTTTCTGGATTTGTTTATTAATGTAACAGTTTGATGCCTGGCAAATAGGTGTATTTGGTTTATGTTTTTTAGTAGAATTTTATGTATTTTATTTTCAATTTGATGAAAGGTAGAGGCCTGAAGATATATTTATTTTTAACTGAAATTTTAGGAAATAGATTACTATAAGTAAAGGCAAAATATTTTTTTGTTTTTTAAAATTGTTGTTGGGAGGTAGAGCCCTGAAGACATTTTTTTTTAAATTGAAATTTCAGAAAATAGCTTAATATATTTAGAGGCAACTTTTCTTAGTAAAAAAGTTTTTTTTTTCGCTCCACCCTAATATACATATTAAATTTTCTAACCGATAGAGATATTTTAAAGTAAGAGTTGGTAGCGAGTTTTCCTTAGAAAGACCAGTCCCAAGTGGTTCTTGTCCCTTTGTTGTTTACTGCTTACGTAAGCGACCTTTAAGCGCTAGTTTCATCCTCAATATGTATTTATGCCGATGATACAAAAATATTTGCCAACCCTTTTCACGACAATCAGGCACTTCAAAATGACCTTAACAACTTCCATTCATAGTGCTGCGACTGGCTCTTGCCTCTAAATATAAACAAATGTGGTGTGCTCCATATTGGTAAAAATAATCCGGGGTTGCCATATTCAATCAACATGAATGCATTAAATAGAGTGTCCTCGTACAACGATCTAGGTGTTACAGTGAATTCTAATCTATCGTGGAGTGATCATATCGCTAATGTGTGCAAACGCGCAAACTCCAGATTATACCTAATTCAAAAAACATTTTCAAAAGTGTCGTTTGAAACGTTATGTAGACTTTATAAATGCTACGTCCGTCCTATCCTATAATACGCAGAACCCGTGTGGTATCCAGACCTTGTACGCGGCCAACAAATGCTGGAATGTGTTCAACGCCGGCGCCACCCGGCTTACCTTTGACCGCATTAGACCATCATACGAGGAAAGGTTAGAAACGTCTCCGTGGTGACCTAATTCTGTCGTTTCGAATAATAAAAGATAACTTGGGCGACCTTAAAGAAGCTTTTCCTCTAAATACTGACTTCCGACTTCGTTGACATTCGCTAAAACTATAGAAAGAAAACTTCAAAACAAGAACGAGACAACATTTTCTGAGTAACAGAATCTTCGAAGTCTGGAACAACCTGTTCCAAGAAATTATAGATTCCCAAAGTGTCAATATTTACAAAAACAATATAGACAGGCATATTTTTCAAAATTCATAATAATGATATATTTTTGGATTTACCACCTGAACAATGTTGGAACTTACATTTGCATGTAGCTCATTTTCGAATTTAATTTTGGAACTATACTTGTATTTAGTCTTTAGATTTATTTTAAAATCATTTCTTGATTTAATAGTTTTTAGGTTAATTGATTTGCTCTTTTTTTACTGGACACAATAGGACACCGTCTTCTGCCCTTATTGTAATAATAATATTAATAAAATCTAACGAAAGAATGAAACTGTAACCTATTTACTAATATTGTCTGAGTAAGTACTCATTGATTTTACGTTTAATGCTTGTAAGAGAGTCAAAGTTTATGTCCAAATTTAATTCAGCTGCATATCTATTAAAATTGTTGCAAATGGTATGGGTAGGTGAATTATTCAAAATGTTTGTTGGAGGTGTGGGCAAGTAAAATACCGTTTTATATCTTGTATTAAAATGCGGTACACTAAATTTAATTTGGGATAACAGGTCTGGACAATCCAATAAATTATTAACAAGCTCTCCTGTCTTCTAGAGATATTAAAATAAATGAGGTAAAAAACTTTACTTATCAAATTCGACTCCCAAATCCTTCATTTACTCCACTTCCTCAATTGGGTTATTCTGTATTGAGTAGTCAAAGTGGATGTTATTCAAGCGTTTATTTGAAAATCTTATGAACTTTCCTTTTTGAATGTTAAGAGGCAATTTATTAGTAATACACCAATTATTTAATTTATCTAAATCATTTTGTAAGTCTATACAATCGTTTTGTGAATTAATGGTACAAATTAACTTGAAATCATCGGCAAATATTAAATAAATACTCCTTCTTAAACTCTTTGGGTATATCTTTAAAAAAAAGTGAAAATAATAAT